TTCGCCTTGCGCTCTGCCCTGTTGTGAATTTTATATAAGATTACGCTCTTTCGTAATCAGTTTTGTGGTTTATATCCTATCATTTCATGGCTGAGAAGAATAGAAGGTCTGTTAAAATATTATTATTGTTTTTGACAACATAATCGCTTTTTTCAATGGGTGCAGCATAATCTGTTGATTCCGAAGTTTCGATTCTGACAATAAAATTGGTAGTCTTAATTTTTTATGATAAATTTGGTCGATCGGAAACGTAACCCTCAGTTATAAAATTGTGCCCGCGGGAAGTAACTATTAGTATTACGAACTCTCTCCAGGAACGTAACATTTCACAAGTGCGGAATATATATATCTATACTGCATGCAGTACACAAGTACATACCCAATAATTATTTTATCGTGGATTAAGTAAGACCTTTGGGAGGAATATTTGGAACAAGAACGTAAGACGAAAAGAAAACCTGGGTCATGGAATTCCTAGAAATTGGCCATCTAACTCCTTGCTACTACCCAGCTAATTAGCAAAGAAATTCGCTGCCTGTAATAAAACCTGATGGTGCAGGGCCACGTTATCAATAGCCCGTTACTTGACTCTTTCTCATTAAGCCAAACCTAATTTTTACTTCTGTTTCCATTAAGAACCTTTTATACACTGCTTTCACATATACACTTAGGTCACCCAACAAGGATTTTCTCCTTAGAATTTCGAAATAAAGAGCCAAACCTAATTTTTACTTCTGTTTCCATTAAGAACCTTTTCTACACTGCTTTCACATATACACTTAGGTCACCCAACAAGGATTTTCTCCTTAGAATTTCGAAATAAAATGTGTGTATTTTTTACTTAACAGTTCCATGTGTGGTTCGGACTATGCCCCCTAATGTCATACTCACTGTTTAATAAAAAGTTTCCTCATTTTGTAGGTTTCTTCAGCTTACTATAACACTCTCTATGTTATGTTCCTTTCGTGCACTCCTTACATTAGTCCTTAATGGGGGAATTGGTATAGTTAGCTTACTTCTAATAGGCTGTCAGTAGTTCATTCAGCATGAACTGATAGCCTGAACATAAAATGTAGAAGGTAAAGTTGTACCTGTGCATTCCTAATTAAATGCTATGCCATTAAGGCGTATGGGAAAGTGGATGTATAGACCCATATTTTCTTTACCTCCGCACTAGCTGGAGGCCAGTGATGAGCTTCACGCCCCGGCCACTTTACTCCCGGGGAAAGAGCCCCCTGGTACCCATTGGATAGGAGGTTGGGTCGACCCCTCGGTCGTCCAGCTCACAGCTAGTCGCAATAACGACTAGGCCTGAATATATGAACTTCATTTACTGCAACTAAAATACGAACTGCAGGATCTGCCATGGGTGTGCATTCGAAATCACTCAAGGTATCCCGACATTGAACCTCCATTTTGTCCTCTTCTGTCTCCTGTTTTCTCTTATATTTTTCCTCGCTCTTTCTTTCGTATATCTTTTCGTGCCTTAATCGTTTTTGTTATGTAGAGCTTGGAGGTCTGTCGTGTACATGTACATCAGAACGTAAACCAAATATCTGTTCTGTCACGGTAAAATGTCACTGACATCAAGAAATGCTTACTTCCTCTACATATCAGCCATTATTTGTTCAGAATATAAAGTAATGTATCTAGTTTCTGTGTAGGATTTTAGGTTCTCACAGGGGCTGTTATGAAGAGTCCTATTTTCTGGGATGTAACGCCGTGTCGTCCGTTGAATGTCAGCCAAAATTTCGGAGGAACATGTGATCTCCATCTTCAGGGTCTAAATATGAAATGAGCATGAGACAGGTAACAAGAGAAGCAGAGTATATTCTCATAGCGCCTTCTATGAAGGTTTGTGTTATGCTACCTGCTTCATGACCGTCTCTGTGGTCTAGTTCAATTCCCGGTGCTACCACATTCTCTGAGAAGTAATGGGTCTGGAACGGGGTTCACTCAGCTACGTGAGTATAATTGAGGGGCTATTGCAAGGAAATAGCGACTCCGGTATAGGAAACGGGGATTAACGTCCGTGGTGATCCGTTGCGCTGACCACGTGACACACTCAATCCGCAAAAGTTGGCACTAACTTCGCCGACAAGCGGTTGTCGCTCGGTCGGTATAGTTCGCTTGCGGATTAGAGACCACGGAGTTTGTTTTTACCTGCTTCATTCTTGTTTGTTGTTTTGCTTATTCATCTGCTTTCAATTTGGAGGCGGCATGTTCCACCGAAACGTCAGTTGACTTCCAACGGACTACACGGTGTTATATCTCGGATGATAGTACTCTTATCTAATCTCTGTATAAGTAACGAAGATTTAGCAAGAATATACTGAGGAACGTACACAGAAATGAAGCCATTTTTACAGTGACGAATGTATTTATATAACTACACACCGTACCGAAACTAGATGTTAGATCATCTGGTTTTTGTAGTTTCCTGGAATTACCTGAGGAGAATTCCTTGACGACACCATATCAAGTTCGCCTTTTATGCAATCCATTCTAAACACGACGTGTTCACGGCTGTTGCCTCCTCCGTAATAATGTTAAGAAGCAAAGACCTAAGCTGCCCCCCCCCAAAAAAATAGGTTAAGTTATCCCTGTAGCAGACCATGAAGGCCCATAGAGTTGTGAGGCTTCCAGGCTCCCATATTATCTAGACAGTCGGCTCACAGATGGAGTTAAAGGTGTCAGCCTTACACGCCGGCCGTCCTTTACCCCGAGGAATATTCCTGGTACTCCTTTCTGTTAGAGGCTGAGTCGACACTAGGGCCATAGTGCTGCTGGGAGGAAGAGTTCAATTGATAAAATCCACTTCATTGGGACTCGAACCCGCGACCTTCCGGCTTGTAGCATAATGTCTCAACCAACTACGCTACCGCGTGTCCAGCCCAAATATAGTAGAAACGTAAAAGCAAACGGCCAGGAGATTGTCTGCAGACACGACGTGCTTCGTCAAAGTTTTGCTGTTCTGACGTTCAAGCTTGTACCTATTCTCTGTTCTGTACTCACACTTAACGGTATTGCGTTTCATCACCTCAGTAACGGGCATGTCAGTGATGAATTGTGGCATTGTTATTTGGCGTTAGCAGCCGGGTAATATATTTCAGGGCAGTGTAATTTCTATATGTTGTCACTTGTAGGGGTGCGTGACTTATAGATGAGGTGCCGTGAAGCGCATAACTGTCAACCGGTCAACAAAATGAGAACCTCCCTGAATAATCAGTAACAGAACGGTTTATTCAATACAGTAAGGTCTAAGTATGCGAACTCAATCAGTACTGCCAAAAGCATGTTCATGTTTGTACTAACATTGAATTGTAATTAAGACAGTCCGCAGCGGACATATTGAGAACTGTACAAGCGGTTGCATCTAACTTGAGGCCGATAGTTCCGAACTATCAGTAATGATCAAACTAACTATATAAGATTTGAGGTTTTCACTGCGGTGACTGTGAAGAAAGCAGTCTTCTGGGATGTGGCGCCATGTAGATATTGTGTTAACCGACGTTTTGGAGGAACGTATCGCCACCATCTTCAGGATATAAAAATCCGTGAGCGAGGAACCTGCGCGAGCAGGTGGCTGCAGACTGAGTGCCGGTCAAAAACACCAAGCTGTTCTTATATAGCCGGGTGGTTATGGCTGGCACTCAGTCTGCAGCCACCTGCTCACGCTGGTTGCTCGCTCACGGATTTTTATACCCTGAAGATGGAGGCAATGTTTTCCTCCGAAACGTAGGTTAACACAATATCTACAAGGCCATATCCCACAAGGAGACATTTTTCAACTTAACTGTAGATATCCGATGTTGGTATGAGGAATTTCAACACAATAGCAGCATAATTGGCTAAAGCATGGACTGATTGGCAGGCCGTCGTCTTCCCTTGGGTCCATTCATGGTGCTATCCTTGCGCAAAGTGACAGCAGACAGAAAGCTCGTCTGCCTGGTTTCCCAACTTTCATCTGAAGACTGCTGAAGGCACTTCGATGACGTTGATTCATGCTGAAAATTCTGTGGAAAAATTAATGTTGGTCACATCTCTTCGATATACGAGTATTTTACATGTGGATGAAATCAGATTTTATGATTGTATAAGAAAGAATTCTGTGTATAAAAATGACCGAATCACATAGAAGGTATTTCATTTGTAACATTATTTGCTATGGTGAACCAATAATGGCATAAAAGAAGAAAATAGTTTCAAACGTCTTCAATATTTGTAGTTGAAATAAACGAAATTCCGAATTAGTAACGTGCGAAAAGTCGCAAGAAATGCATTTTGGGAATACCTGTACCTACATCAGTGTACTCGTATTTTCCTCTGTTATAATTAAAATAGTTTCTGACTGCATGGTAAAGAATCCTTTTGAGAAGCTAACAGCTGCTCAGATAGTCAGTAAATACCCATCGCTTTACGGAAACCGAAATCATTGCCATATGAAGAGTCACCAGGGCGCAGTGCATTTCTCAGGTTGTGGATAGAAGAAATGACTACCAAGTATGCGAAGTAGCTTCTAATATTCTGAATAAGTAGTCGTAGACAGCCGACAATGGGTGGTTCTTTAGCTTTCGGGTTGGAGAAGGAAACAAAATATTCCGGAGCGCAGAAAACCAGTTTGTTACAAAATGTTATGCACCATCTCATACTTCTACGAATTATTTGGCACCGAAGAGAAATGGAAATTTTAATAGTTTCTGGGCTGCAGTAGTTGATACATTAACTTCAAATGATAGAAACATGCGAAATAATTAAGATCTTATGTAGGGGGCGCATGGGCCAGTGCTTTCCCTTCTCTTCCCTGTTGGTTCAGTAGACGTCATATTTCGCCCCTCCCACGGCATAAAGTAACGTATTCAAGTAACAGAGGTGAAGTACTTTCGCCGTTGCAGCCGGCCGTTAGAACAAAATCAGGGTAAGCACCGGAGATGAACGAACAGATCCTACCCTACGCTGCCGATACATATCGGAGTTATCAAGAATGTGTTTGGTTGCAGGCCCAGGGATTCCAGGGGCGGTGGCCGCCTCGTCCCCTTCTGTGGGCGACACACTGCGTCCTAAACCCAGTCGCTATATTGATGTGTCTCGGGGAGTAGAACGTCCTTACTTCGACGACGTTTCGCCACGAAACGTAACGGCAATAGTTGGACAATCTGCCATCCTGAACTGCCGCGTCAAACACCTCGGCAATCGAACGGTAAGTTACAATGCATACCTTTAAATTCATACGAGTATATATAGCGGTGAGATAGTGCAAGAAATAGTTGAATGTCGAAAATACCCTTAGTGATATTGGCTAAATATATTACGTGTGACAAATGAAAGTGCTCTGTCGTGTCTGTGATGTACATAGAAATTGCACTAAAGGGGCTGTTTTTGCTTGTAAAGAATCCTGTATTATATAACCACATGCTACATCGCCTTTAAAATTTCAAGTGAATATATCTCTTTTCGCTGATTGCCTGGTTTATTTGCTGGTAATTTTGAGGTATGCTTAACTTGAAGATCCCAACATTGCATTGGCAGGTATGCAACTTTTGACTTAAAGTCTGCTGTACCGTTCACTTGTTTTCAGAAATGCATACTGGTGCGTAAATGCTGAGGAAAACACTGGAATTCATAATTAGACACAATTAATAGGATTTACATTTTCATTTCAAATATATATTCAAAATCTGTGTGACCTTCAGAACAAATTTGCAGATGTAATCCATTACCACGACAGTCTATGTGGGACTTCAGATTCAATACCTTCTCGAAAACGAGTTGTAAGTCAAAAAATCTTAAATCGATTTCATTTTACCATGGAAGTATCTGAGTACGTACAAGGAGATCAAGGTTCGTACCCAATTTTTTAAATATTTAAACTTCTGTTACGCTGTAATTCTGTTACTTTCATTACAAAATCGATAAAATGGCACCAAGTAGCATAATATCAAACGTTTAAAGTATTAAAAGTTTTAAAAATAAGCGAGATATCTCGTCTTTTAATGTGGTTAGTTAAGTGTAAGGATTCAGGCTACCGGTCACCGTAGCCGGTCTAAGGCATGCACTGTCTTCGCTCGCTCGGAAGCCGGGATCGTGGGTTCAAATCCCACTCAGGGCATTGTTGTTTAGTTTGTGTGTGTGCGTTTTTCTTTGTTTATGTACAGGTAGAGGCCTTGCGACGAGCTGATCACCAGCCCAAGGAGTCCTACCGTATGTCTAAGATCTATTAAAACCGTAGTGAAACGGAGAGTTTCATGGAGATAGGCCTAGGCCCAAATGAGGGTTCTAGCGCCAATGTAAAAAAAAAATTCATTCTACAAGAGCTCTAGAAGACAGATAGTCACAAATTCGTTCTATTTTCAGACGTAAGTGCGAAAAATCGGAATGTAAGTGTACTGTGAGTGTGAGTCCGCAAATTCACAAGTCGGAAGTTGTAGATTGAGGAATGGCCGTGTACAGTTTGTTGTTTGTATGTATGACGACACAGAGGGGCATCAGGTGGCCAACTTTAAGCCCTATCACCCAAGCCAAGTACAGTATTTTTTATCGTACAGAAAGACCTCTCTCGGATGTTGGCTGGGATGGGCCGAGCGGGAGAAAACCAGTAAGCCAGAAGAACCTGACTCGAAGTACTGTAGAGACAAAAGAAAATAGCGCAGATAGCTTCCCCACAGCAGTCATAGGCCTCTGTATTTTACTATGCCTACATCTGTATACTGGAATCCGTTACGAGACCTGCCGCTTCGAATTTATTTCGTCACATCCTAGAAAACAATTCAGATTATTATATCCTAATTAATTTTTAAAAATGTATCTTCGTATATACTTATGTACCTGATGTGGGGACTGTCCATATTTAAGCAAACGTCACAGTGACGACTCAAGTATCATTGCTTAACAACTGTGAGTAAACAGCCGTTGCTAGGTAACGTCTACAAAAATATGTGACTGTGGGAACCACCCACAGTGGATCGAGTGCTAGGGAACATTTGCTGCTTATCAACGACTGTTTACTCGTCGTTGCTAAGAAATGATACTTGAGTTGTCACTGTAACTTTTGCTTGAATGTGAGCAGTTCCCACACTACAAGCTGTGGCCTGTCTGTGCAAATAAGCAACGACTCTCTTAAGAGTTCTTGAAGTTTTTTTTTTTTGCGTGGCTCATTAGCCGTCGTGACTGGGATCTAACCCATTAGTTAAACCAGTCTCCAGTCCTTAACATATGGGATGTACTTACAATTAGAATGCATTAAATGTACCCATTTGACTTTATATATTTATGTTTGAGTATACGGTCGAATATAAGTTGAAAGCTCGGCTCAAGTTAATCCGACACGTGTATGTACCGTTAAACAAATATGTAAACATTTTAAAATGAAAGTAGAACGTCCTAAATCCTGTGATCAGACGAATATAATTTGTATTATTGTATATAATGTGCAGCTTAGTCAGTTGATAGTTCTGATTGGAAGCATGCGAAGAGAGGACTTGAGCCTGAGGCAGAAGAATAGTCGTTGAAGGAGCAGTTACCAGGAAACGTCTAGTAGCAGACTGAGAACACTAGACTGTGTGCTCTAGTGAACTGTAAATTGTGGAAATAGCGATAGTATTACAGTTATTTGTAGTTATGACCCGTAAATGGTGAATAAACTTATTCACGAATCAAAACCCCGTCTATTGTCACCCCTACCACGTGACAACTGATATCAGAAGTGAGATGGATTGGAGACGGCAGTAAGAAGCTATATCGCCACACTCTGGAAGTGGAACAAATGGTGGCACGCCTGCTGGCTTAAATAAGCCAGCCAACCAAACAAAAACAGAAGCCAGCCAAACCAAGGTGGACGCCAATATAAAGGAAATGAAAGGAGATATAAAAACCAACCAAGCAAAATCGGAGGCACATCTAAGGGCAATGACAGAAAGAATGAGAACCAGCGAAGAACTCCTGAAAGAATACATGCAGGCCAAGTTAGATGCCCATCACGAAAGGACGATGGCCAGATGGACTCCCAGCTGGAGAAAATGGAGGCCACGAATTTGGAGGCAAATCCAGAAATAGATTCGGAGGCGGGGAAAATGCCGCCCTGGAAACTTTTATAGCACCGAAGGAGCATTAGCCGTAAGGCTTAACAGCTTCTCCCTCCTTTATCCTACAGTTGTGGGACGATCGCTGCATTTGTCCCTGGTTCCTTCGTCGTTTTCTCAGTGCTCTCCAAATGGAACAGGGTGTCCAAGCTTAGTTTCCGTAAGAAAAGGCTGAATCTCCTAAATTAGTATTCAGTAACAATTGACACAACGATAAAAAATAAATAAGACTTAAACCATTACCTTAATACTTCAGATATGCATATGAAGCAAATCTGTGCCCTTGACAATCTTGGTCTATCCAGACTGCAGCCCAACAGAAGAAAAATATATGCAAGATAGCCACACGAAGCCGTCTATTTACCCCAGACTTAGGAAATGCCCAAACTCATGTAACATTGCGAGCCAACCCAAATCACAATGTTACTCCATTCTCTATTCGTGCAACAGCACTAAATGGGGCAGCAACAGGCCCAAACAATTAATAATATAACCTGATAAAAGCGTCATGTAGCACATGACCTGACGTCGTCAAAGACATTAGCAGTCTCAGTTCTGTTGCGCAAGCAGTGGGCAGGCCTGTTTATAGCCAAAATTCTTGGAATAAGTCAATGGCCCTATTATACTGTCACGTATAGGGGTTTGTGCGTGACTTTGAAGACGCGTTTTGGATTGGATGATTGCACTTATTGACAACTTATACACCGTACTCGGGACTACGGGCGATACAGCGCTGTGTCTCATCTACACACTTTACAGTTCACCGTTACACACACACACACCAGGGTCCTCAGTCTTCATTAGTCGTGTCCTGGCAATGGGTATATCACAGTCTCACTTTCACTTCAAATCACATATGAAGTTTTTTTTTCACAGCCTAATTCCTTTTTGCAATTATTCTGCAACTGCGAATTCAATTCCTCTGTTTCCAGGCNGCAAATTGCAGCCGCGGCGCGCACTTGATTGTACGCACTGTACTAGTAGACTGGCGTCTCGAAACTCGACTCAGTTCTTCTCAACTGAACTCTTCTTTACAACCACTTTGCACGGACAACGCTGAAAACACAGCCTCTCTACTGATGAGAAGGCGTGTTTACAGCGCTGTTGCATAACAACGGAAGATACTCGATTCTCGTTTGCATATTGGTTGCCCCGGGAACGTGTTTGCCGAGTCGTTGCCCAACAGTGAACATCTATTCTGACTTCTCCGTTGCGTGCAGTCGAAATAGGGGTGCTACTGGGAAATTCACTTCAAATATTTGAACTTGATTATAGAATAAATTTTAAAATTTACCAAGCCGGAACTATTCATCTAACTTGGTTCATTGATGTAGGACTATAACAATGGTTGGTATGACTGGCAATCTAATGACAATTGGCTTCGCGCTCAGAATAAATTAGGACGCTTTAACCTCACTAATAGGAATAAGAAATTCAGCATGACACGTCTGACTAAACTGAGATGTTAGCATCTGCTTTTAAAAAGCAGGCTTTAAAGCAAGCACACAGCACTAAGACACGCCCCCCCCCTCTATCCACTCAGTACTTTCCCTTAAACACGTCCAGAAGTCCAGAGGAACACTCCAGACGACAGTAGGATCATAGCGCCACTATGGAATTTTGACAGGGAGCCCGCTATTCCCATAAAACCGAACTTACCCTATTCATTTTCAAAAGTCCAGATAATATATTTAATACAATAAATCATATATGGGCTGTAGAGACTCAACAGCAAAAGTATGTATTAGTTTTCTCATAAACAAGACTGATTTTTTTCTCGTATTTGTATACTGGCCAGAAAAATCTTGATTATTGAATACCTTAAAATTATTATGAGGAGTGATTGCATGATGAATGTTTTACTAATCTGATGGAGATCAGTTTCGTCTTCGCTTAAACTAGAGGTCATTTAAAGGGGAAAATTTTTCATGTGGATCAGTAAAATTATTTGAGAGATAAAACGCATTTGGAATGGCAGGCATGCCCTTCGTAAGAAGTGTACGTGTAGTTTAATGCACAGAGCGATTATCTCGCTGTTTTAGGGACAGGTTTTCGTTACGAAACGGCAGTTTGCTTGAAACTAAGAGGGGAATTTAATTCGAGATACAATTGAACGGTTCAC